CCCCACCGACCCACTGGCAAAGTCGGTGGCAACCATCGTCCAGATTCCAGACCTCATGGAGAGCTCTGAATCGTCGAGAGCGGTGAGTTCTAAGTTCCGGGAAGTCGCCAAGCTGGCCGACAAAATGCTGGAGGTTACCCACAAGATTATTGTGTTGAAAGAGATTGGGTCAGAGGAGAAATCGCTGAAGGTGAAGTACAGGGTTAGTTTGTACAAGGAGCTCGCTGAATCTTTGTCGGCGGTCACGGCGGAGCAGGAGAATATAATAGCAAAGGCTTCGTATTATGTGGTGAAAGCCGCCGTGACTTGTTCTCTGGTTATCCTCAACCTATTGGCTGTTGGACGAGAGTATGTGTTTTACATTTTCTGTGAATATAATCACAGTTTTTCTAAGGCTTCATCAATTCATAATTTGTCATCTTTTAATGTTTTTTTAGTTACTACTCCTCAACTGAAGAGGAGCTGGAGATATCTACCTTGACACACAGGCTCAGTTACCTTCTTGGTGATCTACAAAAGGCAATTCAGATTTCTAACCAAGAAATAGGTATGTTACGTTTTATGTGTGAATTGCCATGCAAATATTTTACCTATCTTGTTAATGGTTTTGATCATGTTGGGATATTATATGATGCAGGCAAGATAAAGCACACAATCAAACGAAAAATCCTGGAAGAAACCCTGGCTAGAACGCACACCGATAACAAGTACTCAGCCGAGCTCATCATATGTGGTGAAAATGACCCAACCCCAATCATCCATGGAATAGGACTTCATATGAAAAAGGTTTCAACTTTCATTTATTTAGTCATACATTACTACTTACTAGCTCAGATCTTGATCTCTAACCTTTAATTTGTTATGGTGTTTTCAGCATGGACTTGAAGTGTTGAGGAGGAAGTATGTGTTCTTATTGGTATCAGATTTGGACATCCCCAATGAAGTCATAACTTTACTCCGGCATATGTACCAAGACTCGAAGCAAGATCCAACCAGGCTAGAGAGTCAATTCGAGATTGTGTGGCTTCCAATTGTGGACCGGAGATCGCCATGGACAGAGGCTAAGGAAGACCAATTCAGGCTAGTGAAAGACAGCATGCCATGGTATTCAGTGTCTCACCCTTCTAAGATTGATGAAGCAGTGTATGGGTATGTGAAGGAAGTATGGGGTTTCACCCACAAACCCTTGCTGGCTGTTGTGGATCCTCAAGGAAAGCTAACAAACATCAATGCATTGCCAATGTTTTGGATCTGGGGAAGTGTTGCTTTCCCCTTCAGCAAACTTAAGGAAGAATCTCTGTGGAGTGAAACTTCTTGGAGCATGGCACTCTTGGCTGACTCCATTGATCAAAACCTCTTTTCTTGGCTGAATGATGGGAAGTACATATGTTTGTATGGAGGAGAAGACATGGAATGGATTCGGGGCTTCACAAAGAGGACAAGGTATGTGGCACAACAAGCCGGCATCCCTCTAGAAATGCTGTATGTTGGGAAGATGAATATAAAAGAAAGGATCAAAAGGAACAGTGCCACAATACAGGAGGAGGGCTTGAGTAGCATCCTTCAAGACCCAACCATGATTTGGTTCTTCTGGGAGAGGCTGGAGAGCATGTGGTACCTCAAAGGAGAGAAGACGCTTGCAATGCATGACGGCGATGCTACTAAACCCTACATTGTTTCTGAAGAGAGCAGGGACCCCATTCTGCAGGAAGTGAAAGCGATCCTCAGCTACGACGGCAGCAATCGAGGGTGGGCGGTGTTTAGCAGAGGCTTGGGAGAGATGACCAAAGGGGAAGGCAGTAATGTTGTGAAAGTGTTGAATAACTATGATAGCTGGAAGCATGAAGTGAGAGATGTGAATGCGTTTATCCCTGCTTTGGATAAGCAGCTCCGTGGGCTGTACACTAAGCACCACTGCACCCGTATGGTGGTGCCGGCGGCGGTGGGGCACTACCCGGAGACGGTGGCTTGTGTGGAGTGCGGGCGTACCATGGAGAAGTTCTTCATGTACAGTTGCTGCCTGGATGAGTATGAGAACTAAATTAAATACACCCTCGAAACCCAGACCGATCATCTCGATCAATTCCTTCCGGATAAATTAAAGATCTTGAAATCCATTATTATCTTCTCCATTCCGATCCGCCATACTTTTTGTTGAGCTGTTTTGTGTTAAATAAAATAATGCCTGAAAGATGCATTATTGTATCTTTTCATGAGCTTTAACTTCCTGTATTATGTACTGTGTAGAATGTATCGAAGTATAATAATATGTGATTTATATATGACGAGTTATTGTGGTGGGAGGTCTAGAGTTTGAGCCTATTTAGAAACGTACATAGTATCCGATTGCTCCTTTTTGTGGAAGGTCTAGTGTTTGAGCTTTGTTGTAAGTCTAGGTTGTATAAGGGGTATTCCCTTTGTGAAAAAAAAAAAAAAAAAAAAAAGAAGACGTATTACACTGTATAACCTCATTTCTTTGTAATAACCCTACAAATCACATCATGGTCCTTTTTATTTAGTTGAATTTCAAAAAATTATATTACTTTTTCAATTTGGTTCATATATTTTTTTAAAAAGAAAAATATGAACATAAATTCATTACAAAATTAATTTTTTATAAAATATTAATTATTTTAATGATAATAATTATTATTTATATTAAAATAAAATTATACAGTAAAATTTAAAATAGTAATAATATAAAGATTAACAATAATTATAATAAAGAGATATAAATAAATGATTTCTAACTTGTAACTAATTATAATAAAAATAAATATATAAAGTGACAAGTATAATAAGTTTAAAGGAAAAAACTGGAATGTGGGAGAATTGGACCAAGATTTTTATTCTTTGGTTCAGACCGGCTCGACCAAATCAGATTGAAGAAACTGACTAACAAAAATTAGTTTTTTTTTTTTTTTTTTGGTCCAAGCCAAGATTTATATTGTTTGGTCTTTCCTTGGCCAATTCATATTTGAATCTCATTTATGAATATAATCATAAATCAGTGATGATATTATATACACTGAATATGTGAGACATACTATTTAGTTTAATTGTATACACACTGTAGTTTCACTACAATACTATTAAAGTATCATTCTAATTCAATTATAATTTTATTTGGCAATATACATTCAATATGTAAGATATATTTTTTAATTTTATTTTGTACACACTGTAATTTCATTACAACATACATCTCTAAAAAAATGAGCACGCCACAAAACGCAATGGATGTAGCAATTACTCTTTCTTTTTATTAAAAGAAAAGACCGCCGTTTTGATCATAGTCCACTGTATAATTATTGTAACAAGACAAATGTGAGTCAACTTGCCCATTTAACACCACTCGATTAAATGGAGAGAGAACTGTGAGAAAATATTTTTTAGCATATTCATCATTTTTTTTCTTTAACCAAAATGATCGAGTATTTTCCATTAACTTTATATGTATTGATAATCAGACGACAAAACTTCTGGATTTTTAAATGGACCTAATATAAGAATTTGAGGCTAGCTTGAATTCACTTTTTTAAAAAAATATATATTTAGAGTTGTAAAATGGGATTAGACAAGAAGCATTACGGAAAATCTCTTTGAGCAAAACACCAATGGCATGTTTGGTTCATGGAATAGGTCAGGAATGGAATAACATTCCTTGGAATATATCTATTCCATCGTTTGGTTGGATCATTTTACCATGGGAATAGCATGCCTAGGAATGAGCTATTACCTTCGCATGGGGAATAGCCATTCCTAGGGGGGCCTTGGTATTAGCTATTCCCATGCCCTTGGGAATAGCTTATATCACAAATACCAAAAATACCCTTTGCACATTATATAATATTTATATTTATATTTAATAAATATAGTGTATTATATAAATGTATATATTTAATTAATTATAATTTTTATCCATCAATCTTTCAATAAATAAATATATATATATACATACATACATGTGTGTGTGTGTATATATATATATATATATATATATATATATATATATATATATATATATAAAATTAACTGTATAAGACTCCTTAATTATAGAGCCTTGGCTCCTAATTAAGTAGTCTGCTCATCTGCATGCCTAGCGGATGGGCATTGCAAGCTTGCCTAGCGGATGGGCATTGCAATTGAAATTATGGAGCCTTCAGGCTCCTTTTATAGGAGCCTCAAGGCTCCATTCCTTACTTCTCCAACCGATGTGGGATAAGTGAGAAAATAAATATAAAAATAAATATGTATTTGTATAATAATAATAATAATAATAATAATTATTATTATTATTATTATTATTGTTATTGTTATTGTTATTGTTATTCTCTCTCTCACACACACATACATATACATATATATAAATACAAATACAAATATAAATAAATAAATAAATAAATATATATATATATATATATATATATATATATATATATATATATAACATTCAGAATCTCATAATCATATTCATTATTATTATTATTATTATTATTATTATTATTATTATGTATAAGGGTATTTATGTCTTTAAAACCTATTCCATTTCTATTCCATTAACCAACCAAACACTGGAATACAATTACTAAAGTCTATTCCTTCAGCCAACCAAACATCGGAATACAATTCATATTCTATTCCTTACCTATTCCATTCCATGTGGAATAGCATTCCTATTCCCTCCAAATTCATTCCGTGAACCAAACGTGCCGCAATAGTAACAAAATCTACTTACATAAGACAAAGATCATGGGAATCCAAACTGTCTCAATTCTTTTCAAGCTTTGAAGGGACATGATATAAGTTGGTATAAGAATTAATATTTGATGTTGCAAAATCTATGTAACTATTAGTACAGCTTTTCAATTCTATTGACCAGATTGGAAGCAACGAATTTGATTCATTTCCCCTTTATTCCTCCTCAGTAAGCTATAAATACAACCCCTTACCTCAATGCAAATGCACCACAAACACACAAAACCCTCTTCCATCTCTTCTCATCATCATCACTTTCTCAGCCCTGCAAAATGGCTCAGATGGCCAGTGATGCCACTCCTCTTGTCACCCCATCTGCACCTACCACAACTATCAACCCGGTCCACGAAATCATTCCTAAGGCCACCAATCTCAACCCGAGAAGTCTTACTAGTATTACCACCGCTCCTCCTCCTGCCTATCCAGTCCAGCACGTAGCGGTTCCTGCAACCAATACCAACCCGCCTGGCCAAGTGGTCACCCCATTGCAGGCAAAGACCATTCCTGCAGGCCGCGGGGGAATGAGGAAGAGGGGAGACTTTCTTGCCAGCTCCGAGGACACGGCCATGATGGAACACATCAAAGCCACACATGATCTTGATGCGGTCCATTACAAAGTTAAGCCTCTCGTGCACCTCATTGAGGATATAATGCCCCGAGCCAATGCTACCATTCCTGGCTACATACAGGTTGGTACATGCATGTTATTACTTATTAGTCACTCCAATCAAGTCAAAAGTTTAATTAAAGAGTAAATTTACTTATATTTCTTTTAATTTAAACAAATCATATATAGAGTGTTCAAACTCAACCGGCACGCTTAGATGCAATCTTGGAAGAGAAGGTTGTCCATTCTGGTCTTAATGAAGCCATTGAAGCCCTTGCCTACCCAGTACACAGAACATCCACTGAGGTAATTAACTAATTAACTTATCAGCACTGGTAGTTCAGTTGGTTCTTCAATTCAGTGACAGATTTTGAACAAGAACGCAGAATAAGCCTTGGTAACTGCACTGTGAGAGTTAGTTTCATGTACCCTCTTATGGAGTGAATCCTTATAGACACCAGGCACTCGTCCTCACCTAATGGACCGTCGGGATGTGGGCCCCAAGAGACTATTAATTCAATTAGCTTTATAATTTAATTTGATTTTACTTTGCAAACTACTCATAATACTTATAATATAATTGCATGGAAATGTTAAAGATGATTGGTGGATATTCAAACCAAAGAGATGCACACACGACCACCTTATCAGTCCTGAAGCTGCTAGCAAACTTCTGGTGGGACGCAAAGGCGGTGATTGCCTTCACCGCCTTCGCGCAGCAATACGGAGAGTTCAGCCTAGAAGTCCGCCTCTACCCCACCGATCCACTTGCAAAGTCGGTGGCCACCATCAAGCAGATTCCGGACCTCATGGAGAGCTCTGAATCGTCGAGATCTGTGAGTTCTAAGTTCCGGGAAGTCGCCAAACTGGCCGACAAAATGCTCGAGGTTACCCACGACATTATTGCGTTCAAACAGTCTGCCTCGGAGGAGAAAACGCTTAAGGTGAAGTACAAGGTTAACTTGTACAAGGAGCTTACTGAATCCTTGTCGCCGGTGACGGCGGAGCACGAGAATGTTATAGCAAAGGCTGCGTATTATGTTGTCAAAGCTGCTATTACTTGTTCTCTGGTTATCCAAAACGTGTTGGCCGTTGGACGAGAGTACGTAGTGTCTTAAATTACAAGTCAACAGTTTGATCAACTTGACTGGTATTACGTGATTTTTGATGTTATATATATTTTGTTGTGTATAATATAATGTTTCAGTTACTACTCCTCAACTGAAGAAGAGTTGGAGATATCCACCTTGACTCACAAGCTTGGTTACATACATGGTGATCTACAAAAGGAAATGCAAAAATCTACCCAAGAAATAGGTATTTTTAATATACTATATGATAAGATCATCTCAGATTTGGCATGCAAATTAAAATGTATCTTAATATTTGAACAGATACTACAATGTAATAGAGTCAGTAGCATTAAAAAAAAATGTATCTTAATATTAGTTTTGGCATTATTGTTGCAATGCAGGCAAGATAAAGCACACAATCAAACGAAAAATACTTGAAGAAACCTTGGCTAGGACACATATTGATAACAAGTACTCGGCAGAGCTCATCACATGCAGCGAAAATGACCCAACTCCAATCGTTCATGGAACAGGAATTGAAACAAAAAAGGTTTAATTTCATTTAATAACTTACTAAACTAGAGTGATGACCTTGTTTAATTTAGCTAAAGTTCTTGATCTCTGACCTTTATTATCAGCATGCACTACAAGAAAAATGCACATAGACAACACTAGAAAGACAACAGTTTTTAACAAAAGCGTTGTCTTTTGTATAAAAGACAACAGTTTGGTCCAAAACCGTTGTCTTTGATGCAACACTTTTGTCAAAGACAACGGTTTTTACTTAACCGTTGTTGTAAGTGTGTTGTCTTTGTGCATTTTGTGAAAAGACAACACCACAACGACAACGGTTTTTTAAAACCGTTGTCTATGTGCGTTTTTTTTTTTTAAAAAGACAACGGTTTATTAACCGTTGTCGTTGGTGTGTTGTCTTTAAGCGCACTGGAATACACAACACTAGAAAGACAACGGTTGTTTAAAACCGTTGTCTTTGTGCGTTCTTTTTTTTTTTTTAAAGACAACGGTTTTATTTAACTGTTGTCGTTGGTGTGTTGTTTTTAAGCGCACTCGAATACACAACACTACAAAGACAACGGTTTTTAAAAACTGTTGTGTTTGCATACTCTTTTTTATTTAAAGGACAACGGTTTTTTTACCGTTGTCGTTGGTATGTTGTCTTTAAGCGCACTAGAATACACAACACTACAAATACAACGGTTTTTTAAAACCATTGTCTTTGCGCATTATTTTTTTTAAAAGACAACGGTTTTGTTTAACCGTTGTCATTTATGTGTTGTCTTTAAAACACAAAACTACAACGACAACGGTTTTATATAACTGTTATCGTTGCGCGTTCTTTATTTGTTTAAGACAACGGTTTTATTTAACCGTTGTCTTTGGTATGTTGTCTTTAAGCGTATTTGAATACACAACACTACAAAGAAAACGGTTTTTTTATAACTGTTGACTTTGCGCATCATTATTTTATAAAAGATAACAGTTGTATAAAATATAAACAACAATGTTAACAACAAGAATTGAACTTACGACCTTAAACATAGCAAATAAGGTCTAACCAACTAAGCAACACAACCTCTTATTTATAAAAATGCAACATCTGGTATATAACTGAGTTTATAAAATAGGTTAAGGATGCCCATATGAAGAATATAACCTAAGACCTCTAACATAAAAAACTAAGCTAAACCCACAAAGCCACACCAACACTTATGTACTTAAGCACAACATCTAGGATATAACCAATTTGCTTATTTGTTCTCTCTGAGAACCAAGACAATGATTGTATAAAATAAGTTAAAGATGCCACTAGAAAGTATAGAACCCAAAACCTCTAACATAACAAACAAAGCTAAACACACCAAACCACACCAACCCTTGTTTACTAAAGTGTTACACCTTATCATTTACCTATAATTTTGGGCTGGCAGCTTTGATCTCCGGACTCTTTAACAAAGAAATAATACAATTCAAAAGTTAATTTAATAGTTCTATTTTCATTCATATTTAAATATAAAACTATTCACCAAAATTTCAATTTCAATTCATTAAAGTTTTATTTTCATTTACAATTAAGACCAATCTATGAATTCAAAAAAAAAAAAACAAATAATAATTATCAAGTATAAAAATAAAATAATAGAATATATCTATAATATTTTTTTTAAAAAAATTGGGGCCCTGTGCGGTCGCGCCGGTCCGACATGGCCTAGAACGGCCCCGGCGGTGCGGTGTGGTGTTTTGAATGGTGCGGTATGGTGTTATACCTCAGGCTTTATATGTACTATTTTAGACCTAGCACCCTGGGTAATAAAGCTACTATTTCGTACCCATGTTCAATTCTATAACTATATGTCCGGTACTATTTTGGGCCTAGCGCACCCCTCATTCTGTACCTATATATCCGGTACTATTTTGGGCCTAGTGCCCGGATAATAAAGTTACTATTTTCTAACCTCCCCGCTATATACCCGATTTATGGTGGACTCGATCTCTATAAAACCATGAATATACTTATTTAATTTGCTATTATAACTATATATATATATATATATATATATATATATATATATATATATATATATATATATATATATATATATATACTTTTATTTTATATATAAACAACAACAGTTAAAAAATAACCACCCGTGGTCCTAATTCTTTAAAAAAAAAACCCAAGTTTAAAATGACCACGAGACATTTTAAAAGGACCGCTGATAGTTATTTTTTAGAACATGGAAGACCATTGACGGTCATTTAAAACTCAAATGATATATATATATATATATATATATATATATATATATATATATATATATATATATATATACATACATACTTGCATTCAAACGAGGACAAGTACATTATAGAGGACTGTGAGGACAGATGTAGTGTGTGCCATTAGACTGTATGTCTTGTGCATGGTTGAATGTAGTCGTGTGCCGCAGTTTGTATGTCGTGTGCATACATTTGTTAATTAATAGAGTATTAAATTGTGTGCCTAATATTAATTTGTTGTGTGCCCGTTATTTATCCCGCACAATCCTCTATATATTGTTGTCCTCATTTGAACTCAACTATATATATATATATATATAATTTTATTTTTTAATTTTATATGATATACTACATTGATTAAATAAAACTGAAATATAATTTATTATATAACATCATTTTATTATTAGAATTGATCTTATAACTTCAATTATAAAAATTAAAAAAATCCCTCCAAACCTAAATCCAAAACCCTCCAATTTTTTTTTTCATACACTTAAATATTTTACAAATTCCCTCCAAACCTAAACCCTGTACACTTAGAATATTTTACAATTTTCCCCCAAACCTAAATCCAAACCCTTGTTTTCATCGATCACCACTGCACCTCCATCGCCATCATCCGTCGTTGCTGTCAGCCGCATATGATTCAGGCACCGGCACGGAGACGCTCTGAGACGGAGACGGAGACAGAGACGCCACCAACCACGAAGTAGCAGAAAGATTTATAGGCACATCAGCTTATCCGAATTCTAGATCAATCCTATCGATTTTGGTACTTTAACGCTGAATTTGATTATTCCAGCTTCAGTTATGCGATTTTTGCATTTTCCTTGTATTTTGGGGTTAATTTTAGCAATGCGATTTTTCTGCCTGGTATGTGTTATTGAGAAATGGTGTTGTTCAATGTGAGACTTTATGTCTCACAGCTTTTAGGTAAATTTCCCATATATATATTTTTAAAATCCGTCAAGATCCGTCTCATGACTTCATTGCTATAGGTTTTATGTGAGGAATCATTCCAATTTGTGTTTGCATTATCAACATCAAAGAACAGAGCAAACACAGGAAATTGGCATTTACATTTCATTTATAGAGAACACAAAGTTCATTTGTAATGAGAAATTAAAACACAATTGTTTGAGAACAAGGAGTACTTTGACATCTATATTTGTTCAGAACAATTTTTAGAGAAACAGTTTGGCCTACACCATTAATAAATACTTAATATTTCTGTTTAGTGAAGTATTATCTTAACCATAAACTATGGAGATCTTGGATTAAACAAGCTTTATTTGGGTTCACACACTAATTAATTCCTTAGATGTCTTTTGTGTATAAGAAACAAAAATTGGGCAGATATAAACAGTGTCTTTTTTTGCCCCAGATTTTTTTGTGGTAGACTTCTCACTTTACCTATTTGCTATGGCAGATGTTCGATCTTGTACTATGGATATTGCATCTTTACTGTTGCTGCAGGTACATGACTTTATATTTGGGTTTTTAATTTTAATTAATTAATTTTTCAGAACAAATGCAACCACGCATTTATCAATATGACTGATCCTTCATTCATTGTTCCATTTTATCATGTAAGCTTCCCTCTTTCCCTCAGTAAATAATTGATACTGTATTAGTATTTCTCTATGTATCATGTTGCTATGTCTATGTTTAATAGAGAGTTGATCTGACAGGCTTTTAATGGCAAGAAATGGGAAAAGTTCAACAGTGAAAAGGTGGCATCACTTGCATATGTTCGCATCCAGGGAAAAGCTGCCCTTATTGCTCACTTCCAGAATTCTAGCTTGATGAATGAAGATAAGATGTAGTATGCTGAATTGTAGTATGCTATTGGGCTTCATGGCTTACTACTCTATAACCCCATATCAAAAAATATGTAAGCCAATCACAATTGCATTACTATCATACTATGTCTAAATCTGTGTAGTTCATAATGTATTTAAAAATTACTTTGCCTTTGCTTTAAAAATCCATAATTTTGTCTCCAAATTTTGAAAGCTTATAATACTTCACCTCTTTTTAGTTTATTGTATACTGAGAGTATATGTATGTTTGTGAAGCAACGAACCTTGCTGCGTGCATTGCCTTAGATCACTTTACTGGCTCCAAGCTAACTGTCCCCCACCAACAGATGAAAGTAAAATAACAAAGTAAATGAAAGAAAAATAACAAAGTAATTTTGCCTTGAGTGGAGGTCTGCTACTGACTTTGGGTTGATCTTTTGTTGGAAATGATGCCTGAGATATGGAAATAAAGCCCCATGGAGCTGAGGTCTGAACAGAACCGGTGAAGTGGTGAGCAGAGATGAAATCTGAGTTAATTGAGGGAAGCTGATCTAGGATTGGCTCCAATGGAGGAATAAGGAGGTCCACTAAAGTTTGGTGGACTCTTTGGCCTGTCTGGGGTTTTATGGTTGGAAGGGAGATATTTTGGAGGGGTGTTGGAGGTATAAAGAGGGTGGAAACTGAGATGATAAAGCCCTTGGAAGGCAACTGTGCAGGTCTGATCTGCTGAATTGCAGCTGGTTTGAGCTGTTGAAATAAAATTTCCTGGTAGTAGCTGCAATCCAAAGCTCTATGGAGTGGAGGATGTGGTTGCCATGAAGTTGCTTTGATGATAGCACCTTTATAAGCATCAACAAGTTCTCTCATTCTCAATGTTCACTTCTTTCTGTATATGTCTGTGACTTATACTCTAGAAATCTAGATTGATATTTCACATTATATCTCTATTTTGCCTCTTATGTGTGGATTAGCACTTATCATATTCTTTTGCATTTCACAGATAAAACAGAGCTACAATGTGTTCCTAGTAGCTTTGACTCTGTGGAAGAGTATGTTTTTGCATAGGCTGCTTGTGGACTGAACATTAAATTATCGAAGGAAAAGATTGAAGATATTGATGCCGGAGATGTGTACAATGAGTTGGCAGTTGTGGGGTATGCAGAAAACATTTAAAAGTTCTACAAGGAAGCTGAGGTAAACCACCTTCTGTCATTTATACTCTTTGATTAATGAATTTTAGCTTCTTGCATATATATATATATATATATATATATATATATATATATTATTTTTTTTAATAAAATAAAAGACTTTTCGAGACACCTACAATGGAGCAGGTGTCTTAGATAATATTTAATAATAAAATATATATACCTCTATGTATACCTCTATATATGAAACTACCTCTAGATTCGTATTGTTTACTAGGAAACAATAAGAGGAGGTTCTGTTGTAAATTAGGTAGCTATATATAAATGCCTTTCTATTCATGTGTTCCTATATATACAAATTAAAGTGTGCTTAATCTTTGTGGTTTGGTGTTAAGTGCCAAAATCCTGCCTGCCAAAATCCTTATATACAAATTAAAGTGTGCTTGTGGTTTGGTATTGATATTCTTGGTTGCAGTGGCATTATATAGAGGATGCAATGTGTTTTGTTTTGCTTGGGCCTTGAGGAAGAGAAAACTAGAAAGTAGGCAAAGCATGACTGGTAGATTGATAAATGCCATCCATCCCACATGGTAGTTGCTAATTGGGAGCATTTGTATTCATATTAGGAAAGTATTGCCAATGCATTGATTTTACTCTACTTGAATAGACTCTAGTATGCCATTTTAGTGTTTCCTGTCTAGCAAGTTGCCATTTTAGTGTTTCCTGTCTAGCTTTTCTGTACTATAACCTTCCAGATTGGAGAGCTTTCTGAATTATTCCTAACTTATTTTGCATTTCATTGCAAATTATTTATATCTATACTAATTTATTTTCTTACTTTTTACATGTAGTTTCAACAAGTTGATTATGACAAAGCGGTTATTCATCTGGTGCGTTCTGAATGGGCCGATATTCTATCAAGTCATATAGAGTAGGTATGATTTGGACATTAGAACGTTGTGATCATTTGGACTTGAATTGGTTCGTGGAATTGTTTTTTGTGTAGTAGTATTATGACTTGGATGATAATTAGAATTGGTCATGGAAGTCTTTTGACTTGTTATTTTGAACCTTATTAGCTTGTGCACAATTATGTAACTACACTTTGCAACATATGGTGAATGGATAAATTTTTTTTTATATGATTATAATTTAAGCAGGTGAAAAACGGTTAAAAACCGTTGTCTATTTTACAATAGACAACAGTTAGAAACCGTTGACTTTTCTACAAAAGACAACAGTTTATGGGTGTGACAAAAGCGATTTCAACAACACACAATAGACAATAGTTTATAACTGTTGTCTTTTAAAGAAAAGACAACAGTTAAAAACCGTTGTCTATGTACGTGACTTTTAACAACACTGGTTTCAACAACGCTTAATAGACAACGGTTAAAAAATCGTTGTCGTTGGTAGAAAAGACAACGGTTAATAACCGTTGTCTATGTGAGTGACTTTTAACAACACCGGTTTCAACAACACTTAATAGACAACGGTTAAAAAACCATTGTTGTTAGTAGAAAAGACAACGGTTAATAATCGTTGTCTATGTGCGTGACTTTTAACAACACCGGTTTCAACAACACTTAATAGACAACGGTTAAAAAACCGTTGTCGTTGGTAGAAAAGACAACGGTTAATAACCGTTGTCTATGTGCGTGACTTTTAACAACACCGGTTTCAACAACACTTAATAGACAACGGTTAAAAAACTGTTGTCGTTTATAGAAAAGACAACGGTTAATAACCGTTGTCTATGTGCGTTACTTTTAACAACACCGGTTTCAACAACACTTAATAGACAACGGTTGAAAAACCGTTGTCGTTTCTAGAAAAGACAACGGTTATTAACCGTTGTCTATGTGCGTGACTTACAACAACACCGGTTTCAACAACACTTAATAGACAACGGTTAAAAAACCGTTGTTGTTTCTAGAAAAGACAACGGTTAAAAAACCGTTGTCTATGCGCGGGACTTACAACAACACCGGCTTCAACAACAGAAATTATATCCCTACGACAACGGTTATTAACCGTTGTCTATGTGCATTTTTCTTGTAGTGATGGACTTGAGATGTTGAGGAGGAAGTATGTGTTCCTATTGGTATCAGATTTGGACATCCCTAATGAAGTCATCACTATGCTCCGCCATATGTATCTGGAATCAAAGCAAGATCCAAGCAGGGCAGAGAGTCAGTTCGAGATTGTGTGGCTTCCAATTGTGGACCGAAGAGCGCCATGGACCGAGGCTAAGGAGGAGCAATTCAAGCTAGTGAAAGATAGCATGCCGTGGTATTCAGTGTCTCACCCTTCTAAGATTGATGAAGCAGTGTATGGGTATGTGAAGGAAGTATGGGGTTTCACCCACAAACCCTTGTTGGCTGTTGTGGATCCCCAAGGAAAACTAACAAACATCAATGCATTGCCTATGTTTATGATTTGGGGAAGTGTTGCATTCCCCTTCAACAAACTTAAGGAAGAGTCTCTATGGAGTGAAACTTCTTGGAGCATGGCACTGTTAGCTGACTCCATTGACCAAAACCTCTTCACTTGGGTAAGACATTGATTAAATCGTTATGACATTATATTGACCAGGTCCCAAAGACATTTAGATTATGTACCTACAGACAATGTCGTTTTGGACCAGGTTCACAATGCAAGGTGGATCTGGTCCGGTCCATGACATAATTTGTCATATATATTGATTATTTAATTTTCTTGATGCATATGATATAGCTTAATGATGAGAAGTACATATGCTTATATGGAGGAGAAGACATGGAATGGATTCGGAACTTCACAAAGAGGACAAGGTATGTGGCACAACAAGCACGGATCCCTCTAGAAATGCTGTATGTTGGGAAGATGAATGTAAAAGAAAGGATCAGAAGGAACTGCGCAATGATACAGGAGGAGGGGTTGAGCAGCATCCTTCAAGACCCAACTATGATTTGGTTCTTCTGGGAGAGGCTAGAGAGCATGTGGTTCCTCAAAGGAGAAAAAACTATGGCAATGCAAGATGATTCCAGAACTTACATTATCCCTGAAGAGAGCAGGGACCCTATTCTGCAGCAAGTGAAAGCCATCCTCAGCTACGACGGCAGCAATCGAGGGTGGGCGGTGTTTAGCAGAGGGTTGGGTGAAATGACCAAAGGGGAAGGCAGCAATGTGGTAAAAGTGTTGAATAACTATGATAGCTGGAAGCATGAAGTGAGAGATGTGAATGCGTTTATCCCTGCTCTGGATAAACAGCTCCGTGGGCTGTACACTAAGCACCACTGCACCCGCATGGTGGTGCCGGCGGCGGTGGGACACTACCCGGAGACGGTGGCTTGCGTGGAGTGCGGGCGAACCATGGAGAAGTTCTTCATGTATAGTTGCTGTCTGGATGAGTATGAGAATTAAACGCAGATCCTTCATCATTTTGGCTGCGCTGCCACATATTATATACGTTGCAAAATAAAGAATGTGCCAAAGATGCACCAGTGCATTATCTGATTTTTTTTTTTTCATGGTTTTTCCTTTGTTGTTTTTGATCAAATATGCATTTGAGTGAGATAATATATGGTAGTATATTTTAATTAATAAATTGATTTTCTTTAATTTGTACTACATTCTCATTTTGTGGCTTGTGCAATCATGTTACTTAGCAACTTATATGCTCTTTGGCAGCCTCCACCAAAGAATCTTGCAAGTCGGTAGAGAAGATTCAGTTAAAAAAACACACATTAATGCATCAAAAACTGAAAACCAAGAAGCATACCTGTGCAGCCATGGCGGCCTCCACCTTCTTTGATTTTTTTTTTATAAATTGTTTTTTTTTCTTTTAATTTTTAAAAATAATAATTAAAATATTATATATATATATATATATATATATATATATATATTTTACATTATGACATCATATTTAAGGAAAACTTGGAGTAACCTTAATTGTCTAATTGCACACTTTTTTTGTTCAATTACACAATAGGTAAAAGTTTATGGGAAGAAGAAGAATAAGTAAAAGTTTAGTAAGCAATTTGATAATTTTTTCAACCAATAATAAATGATTCTATATATTTGTAATATTATTTTTGTGATTATATTTTGCAAAAATAAAATGCATTCATTCATGAATATTGACTCATCTTTATGATAAAGACAGACAGTACAGTGGAGATGGAGTAAATACAAGAGAAACCACGTCATGCATGATCTATGAGTTATAAAAGACAATGAGCATAGATTAATTAATGTTTAACATTTTAATTAATTAAATCATGTTCTCAATCAATCACGACCTCACTTCACTTAATTAATGTCGGAGAAAGCTATATGGACAGAAAACATTAGTTTTAGGATTACGTTGTGTACAAGAACCATAAATGTTGGTTTCAATAATTCAATGTCCACTTTTTCAACGAATTAATGGCAAATCAGTATCATCAGCATATATGGCCAATGTTGGTTGACACAACTTTAAATCCTCCATACAAAATACTAAGAAATCTCACCCAATATTCCAAAAGGTTACCAAGTGAGTGAAACATGATTACGTACTTAAAAGTTATGAGTTTAATTTGAATTGATTCTTATCACAATATCTTAATCGAGCTCATTACTCAAGATCTTTCTAATACAATTGACGGTAAATATGTTATCGGATAAAATATTATAATAGCAGAATAACGAATTGTTGTATTGCAAGTGTTTTGAGTACAGAATATTGAACGTGTCCCCTCCTAGGTGAGGGGAGTTCTACTTATATTAGGCCCTAACGGTAACAACTTAGTGGGGCATAAATGGGGAGCTGAGGCATTAATTCTCTCCCTTCAATGATGGCAATAAGTGGCAGTAAAGTCACCACCCGTTGGTGTTCTGCCTGTTGGAATTCTGTCCGTTGGGTTTCCACGTGGTGCCGGGTCAAGTGCCTGTTGATGATTCGGGTCGGGTGCCAGCACCTACCATTATCCTGTCAACAATTTATCTCTTCATTTGCGTAGAGTTTACCCAATACACTCCCTCAAGTAGTAACAATTGTTGGATAATCCCGAAAGGGGTGACAATGTCAGTGATGAAGAGTTTACCTGGTATACACACTCTCGAATAGTACATGATTATATATTGTTGAATAGCCTCGATCTAGTGACCGGGTGAAGAGTTTATTCTGTACATGTCTTTTAAAAATGTTTATGAATAGTTTTGAAAGGAGTGACGGAGTGAATGAAACATAACTCAATTAGTGATTCAAAATAGTGAGAAAGATTTAACAAACATGAATTAAGGAGACTGAGAAAATTAAAGCTGCAAATTGAAGTGGATTGGGTAATTATATGTGCGAATTCAAAGCGCAGGATGCTAAAAGAGGAGATGAGATGGAGGATGCCCATGTCAGAGGATTATTGCATGATGGCCACCAAAATGGATCTCTTGCCTATAAAGTAGAGCACCACCATAGATACAGATAGATATATAGATATAGATATGATGTGTTAAGTTAAGATAACAGATTTGCAGGCAACTCCATCACACCCTACATCATTTCCACCACATTACACTCAACTTGCATTGTCAAGTTGCACTTTTTTTAATATAATTCCGATCCTAGTGTTGAGCATTTATTATAATTTTAATTGAGATGGAATTGTAGGTAATTCAAGAGTCGTGAAACGGTCAATTCAGTATTCTGTTATTGAAAAATTGATGCTAATTGTTACACACATATAAAAAAAAAAAAAAGTTACATTATTATTATTAATTAGTTAGAACTTTTGACATACTGCAAGTAAATGTATGGGACAAATTCAAAAGTTAAATTTTTAATTGAGGAGAAACACATCTTTCAATTTTCAGCTCCTTTTCTAATCCTTCCTTCTCCAGCCATCTGCTTCTTATCCTTTTTTTTTTTACACTTTATAGACCACACTGCAACTAACAACTTTGGAGCCTATAGGAAAGTATAGTTTAATTTCCGTTTATCTTCTAACAACTAACACACCAATCCATCTTTTTGTTCTTCGGATACCAAAAAAAATTGTTCCTTTTTGCTTGATCTTTACAACAAATGTAGTACAAATATGGAAAGTAATAACATGTTTTATGAGTATTATTCATGTAGTTTCGTAAATGGAACATATTCTTTACGTATCTGAGCTGTGAAGTTATGATCTAATCATCAGTATTAAAAGTTAAAATGCCAAACCCTCTTCATTCTTTCACTCTTAATGATTCCATCTATCCGGCCACCCTCTTTTTTAGGTTAAAAATCAGCATATATTTCATCATATAATATAAATGTCAGGATCAAACATTTATCAGGCCAAAAGTTATGGTTAATAGCGAAAATATAATTTTATTTCCTTATACTTACATAACAGTCAGTGTCACGATTTTTTAAGATTGTAAGATATTAAACTTGACCCTCAAAACCTGTCCCAACAATAAACAATGTATGTTTAACTTAATTTTTTATAATTTTGCACCGCCACAACTCAAAAATCCTAATACTGTGGACGCAATAATGGCCAAAACAGGGAGTCCATTGTAGTGCGTGTTAAATGGCATGGGATTGTTTAGATGATGATGATTATTATTATCATTATAAAGGTCAAATTTGGGTACATATATTATTCTTGGATCATGATTATTGGACTGGTCCATAAAGTTATATAATTTGCGATTAACACAAATATTATTTATTAAAATAAGTTATCACGCAACTTCATGTGATTGCCCATCCATTTTATAAGCTTATAATGTCAGCGTTGACTTATTATAGTAGCACTGTAGCAGTAGCAGCTACTGCCTACTGGGCAGGCCACTGCATTTTTAGTTGTCACCTGCTATTCAATTCTTCTATCTTCAACCAAGCTCCCTGCCTGTCTCAAATCTTGTGTCCAATAGGGGGTATTCTTAATAGCAACTTGTATTGTTCTTTACCTTCTTTTATGTCATGTTGACCGTGAAGCTAATAAGTATGCAAACCAGATGATAGATCTTGTGGTCTTAGACTTATAATAGTGACACGGACAATTTTGGTCCTCCATAAAAAAAAAAAAAAAAAAATCAAACAATTTGTGGACACTCTTATTCTGATGAGGACAATTTTCGTCCCCAGTCAAGAATACGGTCTGTTGACTGTCTAAATGAGGGGTATTTTTGTCATTCAATGTGATCTTCTATCAATTCTATTGACTGACGAGAAAACTCTTCTTTGTTAGTTTCATTCTTCTATGAAACATTCCCACTATGAACACTGCTGGTATAGTTTCTGTATTTAGAGCAAAACATACAAAATTCCATGGCAATTTCCGTTCAACGAAGAAGAACAGTGCCGAACAGTTTCTGTAATTTGTCAGTTCAACCTCCGTCGTTATTGTCGTCGTTGCGTCGCCTCCTCCACTACCGTTAAATACTAGTAATCAAGAAGAAATTATATCGATTCATCTCTGCAACTGAAGGAATCGGGGAAATGGACGAGCTATCGAGCGATGTGATCATCAAAACGCTATCGGTGCTGCCGATCAAGCCTCTTGTACGGTGCAAATTCGTCTGCAAATCCTGGCTCAACCTTACGCATAACCTGCATCTGATCGGTACCCATCTCTCTTTTTCCTCTAAAAACGAGACCCATTTTGGTCTCATCCTCAAAACCTTCGTCCCAATTGGCCGGACCCTTTCCCGGAGCAGATTGTTCTTGGTGGCAAACGAGGGAGCTGATGATCTCTACAAGAAAGTGGGTGTGTATTATGAGGAGCTAAGATAGAAGAAGAAGACGCAAAATGGGTGTGTAGCAATACCCTCCTCTTCTTCTTCCTCGTAGCCCTCAATGGTGAGATTGTTATCTTCACTGTTTGGCATTTCGTCGAGCACCCTGTTTGCATCCCGGCCCTCTATTTCTTTCTGGGGTGGATTATTTACAAATGTGAGGATTAGCCGCCCGTCTTGTCGCTCAGCGCGGAAGCGGTTTTGCATATGATCGGAATTCTTCCAGAAATGGTGGGAAAATAAGATTGTGTTATAGTAAGGATTGGTGATCATCTTTTTCTTCGTCAGGGGAGTCGGGGATAACATGAAATGACACAAATACCCTCTTCTCAAACGGTCATACGGCCATCTAACGAGAATGTAGACGGAGGACTAAAATTGTCTTCGTCATAATAAGTGTGTTTATAAATTGTCTAGAATTTTTTACGGAAGACTAAATTATATCACAGTCTATGACCAAAAATGTCTTTTCCTCAACTTACATCTACTAATAAAAATAAATAAGACATTTACCAATGCATATTAGGTAAATTTCACTACTAAATAATGGTTTAAAAATTACATAAGAAAGATAAATCATACTACAATTATCAAATGACATGGACAAATATCATTATTTTAGAACTTTAGATATTTGCTGTTCTTGATCAAAAGATGAATTAATGCATTCTAAAAAATGGGGAAACAAATTTTACACAAGAAATATTTTCTTTAAATCCTCTAATCATTTATTTAAATTATTTGATGATATCAAAACCTGCCACACCTTGATCTCTCCGTCAAAGCTTCCACTAAACACCTTAATATTTCCGCCGGAATCCCCGCCGTCCGTCAGCGCCGTTAACGACCTCACCGGCTTTTCGTGCCCGTCGAGAACCGTCAAGCAGCAATACTGGCCGCCGAAGCCCCGCTGCCATATCCTCACCGTCCGATCGGCCGACCCGCTGAACAACAAATCCGAGACGTTGATCAAGCACAGAATGGCCTTCGAGTGTCCCCGTAATGCCCCCGTCACCACCATGTAGTTCGCACTGTCTTCTCTCTCCCACACCAGAATCGACCGGTCGCAGGCGCCGGAAAACAGAACCGACCCGTCGGAGTTCAACGCCAGCGCGTTCACCGCCGATTTGTGCTTCTCCAAAGTCGCTACCAGCCCGTGCTTCTTCCCGCCGAAAGGCTTCCCCCAAACATTGATTCTCCGGTCGGCTGAGCCGGTGAAAATCGTGCCGTCTTTCGCTAATACCACCGCGTTTATCGCGTCGTCGTGAGCTCTCACCGACTCGGCGCACCTAAAACCCGGCCCCGTCCAAATCTTCAAACTTCTGTCCCAAGAAACCGAGCACATGAAATTCTCAGACGTCGCCGCCAGTCCGGAAACGGCGTCGTGGTGTTCGATCCAGAGCTTCTTCTTGTGTCGCCGGACGTTAACGTAGCTGCTAGGGAATATAACGTTCCGTAAACGGTCCTCCACAGTGGGGAGAGTTGAGACGAGCTTGTGACGGTTATCGCTGCCGAATCTCCAGACGCGGATTTTGCGGTCCTGATGAGCGGTCAAGATTTTGCCGTTACTAAAAGAAACGGATTTCACGGAACCGGACGACGAGCCGTTGGTGTTGAACGTATCTATAAGAGTATAGTTTTCCGTTTCGAAAACATTGATTTCGTTGCCGGAGGCGGCGTACAGGAGGCGGTTGTCGACGGCGAGGGAGCTAACCTGGGCGGCGGGGCGGGGGTTGAGGGAGGAGACGCAGTGGACAGTTACGGAGAGGCTTAAGGTTTCCGGCGAGAGGTTTTGGAGGGAAGGCACGGAGGGGAGAGTGAGGAGAGAGGCGTTGCTCTGGAGGCTACTTATGCTCGATGAGCTCGTTTCTTGGGAGAGAGAAGGAGAGCTGCCGGTGACGTCGGAGCAGCTGCTTGTGTCGGGCCCCGGTGACGGAGCATTGGCTTCCGGCGGCGGATTGGGGCGGTGTGTGGCGGCGGACGCGGTGGAACATGTCGACAGCCAAGATAGAGCCTTCATGGTGAAGAGAGTTTCTCCACAAGACAGTGAAGGGAAAAGAGGATGGAGAATATATAGACTAAATAAAGGTTCAAACGACACCGTTTTTGTAATTTCAATCACTCTTCAAATTCCTAGCTAGGTTTTGTTTTTTCCCCCTTCTTTCCTTGTTTTCTATTTATTAACTTGCCTTTTCTTGCTGTCAATTAAATTCATTTGGTCCAAATGAACTTTTTTGGTATTGCAATAAATGGATTAAAGTTATAATATAAATGAAAGAAATTGGGTGGGTACAGGTGTAACTTACCTAAAGCGGATGTGGCTTTTCAAACAACTGAACTTTAAATTTCATCTCTTTAAAATATTAAAAAATAATAACTCTATTAATAACTTGTGATTTAAAATTTCACAACTTCATTTTAAGTTGTTGAACTTAATGTGATTATTCAACACCGAGGCCAAGATCTTGTGGTCTAATGACACCCGAGTTCGACTCCTAAGGCGGTATTGACTCTTTGTGTCTCAGTAGGTTGATAAAGTAGTTATGAACAGATATTGCATTGTAATAGAGTCAGTAACATTAAAAAAAATTCAACACCGAGAGTTAATGATAACAAAGTTATAATCAATAAGCAAATGGTGCTTATCATTTGTGCAAGTATAATTAACTTAATTACATTAAGACAATACATATTTTGAGACAAATTCTTGTCTGAACTTCATCTTTTATCTGATGTATTTTAAGTTAGTCGGAACTTAATGTGGGGAGTGTTGAGAATTACAACTACCAAGCCTCTTATTATTTTAACACTCTATAGTTTTTTTTTTTGAAAGTTTAACACTCTATAGTTAATAAAGATAAGATGTATTAATTAAACCAAGTGTTAGGTTATAACTTAGAAAAGGGGAAAAAGAAATGGTTGTTTATTCCAATATTGATACAACTTTTCCTTGTCAAAATGGCCTGGTGACAGCGACGGAGAGGATAAAATTATGGATTGAAGCTCTTATAATAATCGCCATAGCCAAGGAAGCAAGAAGCCTGCATTAGGGCATATGCTAAGATTCAAAAACTTGTTTTTTTCTTTGAAACATCCAAACACGCACTAAAGCTCAACTTGCAATTTTTTTTTTATTATTATTTGGTAATTCAACACTACTTGATGATTGTGATGAATTGGAAGGTGTGTTGACAAAAAAAGACAGAAATAAAAAGTTATTTCAGCCAAAAATGTTGACCTAGAGCAGGGACCAACTTGCATTTAAAAGATGTTTTTTTATTCAAAAGAAACCCTTAATTAACAAAATCATAATATAAAAAATTTTTTGATATTTTCTCATTCTAATTTTTATATCTCGTGCAGGGTTGTGCTTAATTACTTCCCTACTTGACATTATGTCATTATAAAAAATTTATTATATTTATTAACTTACCTTACCATGAGTTATTTTTTTTTTGAAGGTCAATCTTGCGATTGTATTAATGAATCAAAGCCGAAATAGTGTCAGGTGGGATAGCATCCCAGTACATAGTTTGATCCTGAGTAAATGCTAACGTAGCTAAAGTATGCGCATGTAAATTAACCTGCCTAGAAATATAATCCAAAGTAATACGATTAAATAACGACATAAACGTCCTGCACTGGTCAACTGTGACCCCAACGTACGAATGGATCGGCGTATGATGGTGCCTGAATATCGCTGCCAATTCCATGCAATCCGTGAGTAAACTTATTGATGTGGTGCCCCGTTCAAGTAGCCAGGACAAAGCCTCCTTGTATGCCTGAGCCTCCGCCATAAGTGGTGAAAAACAAATTGGTAACTTGCCATTCCTCGCTGCCACAAACGAGCCATCTGGCGCTATAATTACCATGCCGTAAGTAGCCTCGCCCGTGTCGTGCCGGAAACCCGTGCCCACATAACATCGTAGACCACCCCCTCCTGAACCATTCACGTGGTCCGTCGCCGGTGTCGGGTTGGTTCGGCCAACATGAGCAGTGCCATACGCCTGCAGTGCTACGGTGGCTGCTCTGACCAACCGGGCAGGCCGCATCATTGATCCCTTCCAGACAGCTGAATTCCGGGTTCTCCAAATATAATATAATATTGCTATCATTAACCGGATCTGCTCCTCCGTCAAGACTGTCATAACCCCTTTTAGCCATGTTGTAAACGAGTCTGCAACAATATTAATAATAGGTAATTGTGTTATATTCCAAACAAGTCTAGAATATTCACAAAGCACTAAAGCATGTAACACATCTTCATGATCTAAACCACACATAGGGCAAGTTGGGTCCACCTCCACCCTTTTAAATATCAAGTTAAGGGTTGTTGGCAAAATATCACATATGGCTCTCCACAAAAAAGTTTTCCATTTCGGGGGTACTTTTAATTTCCACATTGCGATCCATGAGTTACCATGAGTTATTTAGTTAAAGAGATATCATTAATCTAAAAATAAATAAATAAATATATAACGGGATTGTAATCCAAATTATATTTCATGTTTGAGTATTGCAGATTCTCGTTCAAAATTTATCTCCTAATATTCACTTATTTTGTGTCATTATATTACTCAATTAACTTATTTTTTATATATCTTATATTAAGTGATTTTTTTTAAAAAATTTATGTAGATTATCCAACTCATGAATATTATGAGGTAAAATTAGAATGGAAAAACAGCATTTCTCTTTACAGTTATAGCAATACTAAAGTTACTTAAAATTATATAATATTAATTAACATATAATTTGGATGAATATAGACATATATAGAGTACGTACAACATTAAAGATATGGGAGAATGCATGTACCTAGCAAGGATACATCATTCTGTTTTGCCGGTGAAGTCTTAATCTGGAAGGTTAAAATGTTAAAAACGAGGTTTTTGTAATCAAGCTGTAAAACTACATTAATATGTGTTATGAAATCAAATTTGTACAGTTTGACCAAAACTAAAGATGGCTAACATTGAGGAAAAACTTAATTAAAGTTGATGTAAATTAAAGGTTGAAAATTAATTGATCAAAACTTTGACTTTTTTAATTAATGAGACTTTAATTTACCATCCAGATGTTAAAATGAAGAACTAATCCCAAAACTCTGAAAGGGTAGAGTGATCGATGGGTAAAACATAACTCTCGTACTCAAAGATTATGAGTTCAATTCTTGCCAACATTCTCTTGATCGAGCCCATCGCATAGAGTCTTCTTAATGTGATTTATCTATTCTATGTGGTTTGTGAACTATTACACATGAACGAAATTTCCTCAATACACATCATCGAGTAATGGCTGTGAATTTCCCTTATTATAACAAAAATAATAATAACAATAACTATGATTAAAACATTCAATCCACCACACAAATATCCTTGTCATCTTTAAAAAAAAAAAAAAAAAAAAAAAACTATGATTAAGGTTTGAGAGGGGCACACATGATACAAGAAAGGTTTGAAATGTATTCTATTGATGAGCAGTATTAGAATTTGCATTCTACCAGCAAGCTTCACAAGTACAATATACCCTAAAGCAGAAAATCTTCAACAAGCCTAATAAATGAAAAGTTGTTTAAGGTCCATGGCAATACCTCGGCAAAATCATTTAGTCTGGTGAGTCACTGTCCCAATAGTTCCTCAATTGAGACATGTGCAAAAGAAGTCCATCTCTTCCCAGACCAGTGACACTGCTTGTCAATATCCATGGAGGAATGTGTTTGTAGTTTTGTCTGATCAATTCTTGGAACTCTCTGATGTTCTCATCAGGTTTGGTTTTTCCCCCTTTCATCTTGTCGCACTTTGTGAAGACGAAAGTCATTGGTATCTGAAACAAAGAGAGATGGGATGGGAATACTAATAACAAGAGAACAGAGTTCATAGAGATACTAGCTGCATACTTTACTACGTCCAAGCCAATTAGCACAGTCGAGGTCGATCTTCTGAGGAGGTACACTTGCATCTATCAAAAGCAGAACTGAAACCAAAGTTTCTCGATTTAAGAAGTAGGCTTTAGTGAATGAGAACCAATCCATTTTAGCGGCTTCTGGGGCATTAGCAAAACTGCAAACAAATAAAAGCTATATGAGATACAAAGCCCCAATTTAACCACCAAGAAATTGGGGCTATATAATTCAAGGTGATGAAGTATTGGAGTGTTGCCTTGGCCTTGCAAACATAGCATAACGCAATTACGAGACTTATACAAGGAGAGAAAGGCAATTAGAGCAGACAGCAGAGAAAGAAACCAAACAGAACTGTAAGGGTGGTATAAATGATATCTCGCGGTCAAACTTGGACTCTTAACAGCAATGTTTCTTTATGCAGTTTAACTGGTTTGACAAGAAGAAGTGATCTTTAAAAGGCTAGACGGTATTAAAAATGTGAAGTTTTGGAATTCAACTCTTTAGTGAATACCTCCATTGTTATGAATTTTAAAAACAGAGCCTATTAATCAACATAATGAGACATGGTTGAGTTGAATTGAGTTTGCCATAGTGCCACTTGGTCTACAACAACCAGCTATTAACTTCTTAATAAACAACATTCATAACTTTCAAATGGAAATCACTCACTTTATCACTTCCAAAAACCCTCTTTTAGTAACAGATCGAATGCCTATCTATAAATAATGCCAGACAAGTTCATATTTACTGCAATTATGGCCCAATGTTTGCTCAAAATATATAAGTGTAGAAAGATGAGAAACATTTGTTCACTAGTTAGTCTATCAAACAAAAAATGATAACCAACGTTGAACATACATCATTAGAAGTTCAAACAAAAAGAGGGATTAAACAAACATACCCATAACCAGGCAAATCAACAATATACCAACTTTTGTTCACCAAGAAGTGATTAATAAGCCGAGTCTTCCCTACACAATCCACACGGTATAATCAAAATCTACCATAACTCAAAGCTAAAATTCAATTCAGTAGTTTACTAACAGAATTTCATCAAAAAAATAATAATAATAAAATAAAATAAAAGGAAAAATAGAAAACACCTGGCTTCTTAGATGTAAGTGCAACCTCTTTCTTTCGAACCAAAGCATTAATGAGAGAGGATTTGCCAACATTGGACCTACCCACCACAGCGAACTCAGGTCGATGGTCCTTAGGACAGTCCTTCACCTGATTGCTACTCTTCACAAACTCCACTGTGTTAACCTTGGATTCTCCGGCATAGGGTCCAATGACTATATTAGAGCGAGGTAGAATCATTTCCGGGGTAATATCTTCTGGGTCAACTCCGGGCGGCATGAACAGGTCATTTTGAGCAAAGTGGGTAGTTTCAGAGAGCGGTGAAGCATTAGAGGTTTTGAATGTGGCAACATGGAGAGAGAAAGGGGTTGTGAAAGAGACAGAAAATGGAGGAATTTTGGGAAGAATTGGGGAGTGAATGAGTGAGTGCTGTGGAGTAAAGAGGCTAAACCTCAATTTCATTAGCATTGTCTTCCTCTTTCTAAGTTGATTGGGTTCTTGAAATGCCCATATATGCCTAAGAATAATTGTATCAATGCCCTTCAGATTTTAGAGAATAACAATTTAAACCCTCTTTTTTTTTACAAATTAGCTTCTTTAAATCACAAGGCAGGAGGGTGCTGATGTGAAATGGTTGAAAACTTTAAGTTAGAAACAATTGCAAGATAAAGAATTGAGAAAAAATATATGCTGCAATATGTTTATTTATACAATAAAATACATTAATGTCTTCAACATTATGCTTTAGGTGTTTCGACATTATTGGTAATATTCAATTCATAGAGGGTGCCCAAAATATTAAACAAAGAAAGAGAACCACTTTCACAGTTCAAGCACACTAATCAAAATTTGAATATGTAATAATATGTTATTCATATATTAATTTATATTTTAGTATTTCATGGGCAAAGCCCTATCAAATCACTAATTTGTCATATTTAGTAATACAAGGCATCTACACATCAGTTATTTACATGATTCTACATAGCAGCATAAATTTATTTGCTTTCTTTAAAAAAAAATACCTACGAACTATGCCTTAGATATTTTATGTCCAAACTAAGACAACTTGTTAGAATTGTCACTTACGTTATAATTATAATAGTGAGCTTAAATTGCAATAGTGGTTCTCTCTTTTTGTACTTCCATATTGTATATGCTCTCTACAAATTGAAGAGTTTGTAATGTTATGGACATCAGTTTCACCAGAGTCGTTTACACCAATTTTACATTGGTCTTATACTCAATTATTACAAAATTCACTATCTTAGAACCACTTAATGACACCCTAGAAACAAACAAATTATAGGTTCACAATCATCAATATTCCACACTCATAAAATTTCGTCCTTGAAACTACGCCTAACCATCTCCTAAGAATCACCCTAAAAAGTTCCAAAGATTACTATATGCCAGTTTTACAAGTCAAGATCCGTATACAATAGCTTGTTAGAGATGCTAGTGCTATCTGCCTATCTCTTTTTCCTAATTTCAAAAGAGAAGCTGGCGCATTAATCAGGCAGGATTCCAGTGTTCCAGAGTTTATATCCAAACGAAAAAAAAAAAAACATGCAATAGAGAATGCTTCGCACTCAGTAGCCACATAGCAGTAGAAACAATTAAGACCCAAATTAAAAAAAAAAAAAAACAAAAACAAAAAAAAAAAACAAAAAAAAAAAACAAAAAAAAAAACAGCAAGCAGCAGCCAGCAGCTTCTGTCCAGCATAATCCAGAGTATAATCGTAACACAGATTCCAAATGTAATATCATCAACCACTCAAATCAAAAATCACTTCAATAATCAACACAACTAGAAATATCTAACCTCTCGAAGCTTCCGCAGCGCTCAACAGTATCCACTTGGAGAAAAAGCTTGGTTCAGGATTTCCGACGAACAGCTTGGGCGCACGATCAAATATTTTTAAGTGGGAGCGCTCGAAGCTTGTAATTAACAGTTTTCGGAATATTCTAAAATGAAGTAATTAATTAAAATGGACCGAGAACTGAGAAGCAATCAAATAAATTTGAATGGAAGGGATGAAAACAATTGAGATAGGGTGCGGGAAGGAAATAAGACCCTCACCCAAATCCAAAAGGCATCATATTTGATGTTATATATATTTTTGCAAGTAATTTATTTATCAACTATAGTGATTTTTTCAATAGTGTATATGAATGAGTGATGGTTATTGATTTTGAAGTCAAAGTTTAATATTATAATTATAATTATATAAAAATTAGTACTTTTTTTAGAGAAAAAAAAAAAATTCTACTTTTAAATACATAGTGTTTGTTTGACAACCAACGGGTAGCGATTTGTGACTTGTATTAGTAATTAACGAATAGCAGATTGTGTTAGGGGTTGACTAACGGATAGTATCAGCAGTTTGTAAAAAAAAAAAAAAAAAAAAGGAGGAGGTAAAATTAATTGTTTAGATTAACGGTTAATATATAAAATTATCAAAAATATAATAATAATAATAATAATAATAATAATAATAATAATAATAATATAATAATAATAATAATAAGGAAAAAAATAAAAATATGTGGGATAAATAATCCCATATTGGATGGCCAAGAGAAGAGAAACCTTAGACTTCTTTATTAAAGAGCATCAGGCTTCTTCATAATATACCGGTAGCTTTTTTGTTTGTTTTTTTTTTAATATAAACTGAATGGTGTTTAGTGGAAGGATTTATCGTTCCCAAAAACGTCAACTCCGAACGTTGCTAAAAGCAGCGATTTGGAGCAAACCGTTACTCCAAATCGCATTACCAAATATTTATTTTGGCGTTTTAACTTTGATCAAAATGTTAAAATGGTGTATTTGTAACGAAAATTGTAGCTGTCAACTTGTCATCATCCCTAATTCCCTATTGGAGATGGTTTTTTTTTTTTTTTTTTGTTGGAAGGATTCAATTCAATGGACAATATAATGGCTCTTGACATAATATGTCAACTTTATGTAGACCAAAAAATCAGCAGATTTGCAACATATGCTTCTCTGTCTTGTAAAGGAAGATTGATGGAGTAACAAATATATCTTTCTTTCTTTTTCTTCTACTTCTTCTTTGTAGTATATTTATACATAGATATGTTAGCAATAACATATTATTAATGACATAGGACACATTCACACATAAATTCGATGTTGTCGCACTTGAAGCCGGAAGTCACATTGGAACTCTGTCAAGAAAATGGTAAGTGTACTAATGGATTATAACTCGCATCAAGTGTTTGATTTTTATTGGATGGAGAAAAATGAATGAACAAAAGCCATGATCCACCCATTTTATTAATCAATCAAAACATGACACAACGTAAGAAGTAACAAAAATAGAGTAGAAAATTAAATTTATGTATGTCCTGTTTGGTAACATAGTTAGTTTATCAATTAATTTTAACTTATTTGATCACTATTAGTTGTTTGACTTCGTTAAACATTCAATATAAGTGTTTGATTAATTAGTTTTTATAACAATTTATTGCTCAAAAATGTTAAAATTCAAAAAGTTGCTCAAAGCAACATTTTTCGATCAGTTTTTAATAAAATCATTTTACATGTAATCAACAATCAGTTAATAAATAATTTACCAAATATCTTTATACAATTCGCTAATACTATCAACTACTCAAACTCATTAACCCAATCAGCTAACAACTAACAACTAATAGCTATTTACCAAACATCCCTAGTATCACTCTTTTTTTTTTTTTTTCTTTTTGTTGACCATTGTATTCTCTAGGCAATTTCAATATATAGTTCAATACATTGGTTTAGGTCCATTAGGATCCAATTTCTAGTAAATTTAAGTTGTATATGTGTTATTTTCTCTAAGACCTCTCATTTTAGGGTCTACGGTTATGTCGTTCGACCACAAGACCTTTGGCACAATTACTTTATTATAATTTAAAGAGAAAATACCAGCAGAGGTCCTCTGACTTTGGTGGCATTGCCACTTTTAGTCCTCAACTTTTAAATCAACTACTCTTAGTCCTCTTGCTTTTTGTTTCTAGTCATCTATGGTCCTTCCGTTAAACTTGACTATCTAATGCCGCTTTCTCAAGGATAATTCAGTCATTTCATAATTAATTTATTAATTATTATGTTTGCCAAGTCATACCGAGATATCTCGACGTTGTTTTGGCACAACCTTCGTACCAGCTTTTGTATGCTATTTTGATTCACGAGCTGATTTTGTACACGTTCATAACCGGGGAAACCATTGTTTGACTATTATGATGAGGAAATTAAACACAATAATTAATAAATTTATTATGAAATGACTGAATTATCTTTTAGAAAACGGCATTAGATGGTCAAGTTTAACGAAAGGACCATAGATGGCTAGAAACAAAAAATAAGAGGACTAAAAGTGGTTGATTTAAAAGTTGAGGACTAAAAGTGACAATGCTACCAAAGTCGGAGGACCTCCGCCGGTATTTACTCTAACTTAAAATATAAAAATGTAATTTTTCCTTACAAAATGTGTACCACATACTTATAACATAACTCTGTTAATTTTGTGATATAATTTGAACATCGAGTGGTGGACTTAGCACAGTAAATTTTCCTTTATATGCTTGATTTACTCCTATTAAGACTTTGTACAATTGCATTGTTTGTAATGATTACTTAAAGTATCAAGTGTTAATGATGTAAATTTAGAATTACTTGCGTAAAACGCTACGTACAAGCATGATTATTTTTAACTTTTTCTTTTGGTTTTCTTTCGGTTGTCTTTTGACTCCCTATAACATTTCCTCTCTTTTACTCAATTGAATTGAATGAGTAAAAAATAAAAATAAAAATAAAAACAAATGAAAATATTTCTTTCCCTTCCTCAATAACTTCTCCATTTTTTTTCTTTGGTTTCTTGATGGGCTTCTATGAATTAGTTTATAACTTTTTTAGCTATTACATAAATTAAATGAGATTTACATGTGCATTCTCATGTTGTGATTGCAAATTTTCTTAGTCATATATATATAGTGACATTTATGTGATTATGACATTGAGCAAATTCCATTTTTAGTCATCGACTATTATAATATTTAGTTAATTTTTTTTTTTTTTGTCATATTACTTCACTAACTTTCATTTGATTGTTACTATTAGTCTTCCATTAAAAGTTTCATTAATTTACCGTTAGAAATGGTAAATAACAAAGGGAAAAAATGGTTACACATATTGTAACTCATATTTCAAACATATTAGAATTGACAGATAACAAAAGAAAAAACCTAACGCGTTATTATGTTAATACAATCCATTCAATTCGATCACAATTTAACAAAAACATACACAGAGTAACAAATTTTGATAGGAGAACACCACAAAACCATAAACTCACAACAAATTATGTGACATCAGGTAAAATGAGAGAAGATATGATTCTTGATTATGAATGTGCACTGAAAGTATTAACATAATAATGCGTCATGATTTTTTTCATTCGCTATTTGTTAATTCTAACAGTAAATTAACAGAATGTATAACGGAGGACTAATGATGGCAATCATATGAAAGTCATGGATGTATATGATGAAATTAAAAGAATATGACTAAATGTGACAATCCCGCAATAGTCGACGACTACAAGTAAAATTTGCCTTAAAGTCAATGATGTAATATGACAAAATTAAACGAATATGATTAAATGTAACAAACCATAATAATCGGGGATTAAAAGTGAAATTTGCTCTTATAACATTATATTTAAAAACGATTGATAGTGTATGTGTATCCGTGACAATTAATAGTGACATGAGTAAACTATTATAAATTATATAAGTGCACTATTAATTATCCAAAGGTACACTATCAAACATTATCAAATGTATCGTCATAAACATCGATAGGGATATACGCCCGGGATCAAGGATGTACGCCCGGGATCCGAGTGTCCCGGGACCGGGTCACTACCCGACCCTCGCAGCTAGGTCGTATGGCCCGCCCCGACCGGGAAAAGCCGGCAGCGCCCCGAGCAGGGAGGTGCCTCCGGGAGGCGGTCGGCCGGCCGAGTGATGCTGGCCGGGGGCCGATGAGTAAAGCTCGGCTAGAGGGAAAAGGAGTCAGATCCTAGGCGCCGCGTGGCAGACGGCCACGCGGCGCAGGTAACACCCGGTGCATGCTCACCACGTGTTCAACATGCCGGAGGCCCGGCATCACCCACTTTTGGACCCTATAAATAGCGCATTAAATGCATTGTGAAGGGGACTTTTGGCACGAGGCAAGACCGGACCTTCCCGACCCACGAGAGAGATCCGAGCCTTGCTTACGACCGTATAAACACACCACTATGTATAAACAGTATCAAACATCATTATAAAAATATCATCATAATTTTTCTAAAAAAAAATTAACGATTGATTATACTAAATAGACAAATAAGATTAATTTGTTTTTTTTTTTTTGGGTGAGAAAATAAGATTAATTTGTACATCCTCAAAAAAATTATTACCAATTTTTACCTGATCATTTATATATATTAAATAAAATAATTGAGGTGGTATCTCAAGTACATACGATCATATCTTTTCGTGTAGAATAGTTAATCTAGCTTGTTGCATATTATTAATTATCCGTAACAAATATGAATGCATATTGCGAATGCATTTAAAACAAAAGTGATGGTAATAAATATATCGGGCTATGTTAGTTCCACCACATTTACACTGTTTTTTTTTAATATTACTGACTCTATTATATTGTAGTATATGTTCAAATATACTTTCTTATTCTATTGAAGCAACAACGCCTCAGTGTCTCAATCTCATAACTTTCATATGGGGAGATCACTACATGTCATCTGAGCACAAAGTGCTCGGCACATTTACACTGTTATTCCCAAAAAGGTTGAATCCCAACTTAAAGGGGCTTTACGCCCCGGTCCAATAGAATATCTGAGATGATATAAATCATGGTAACTTAGCTGAAAACATAAATTAGACATTTATTTACTCTATACAATGAGCCCTTCACTTTGAAAGATTGCTCACACACTATCCCTGATGAGATTCGATTTTGAGTCATTGCTCTCAAACTCCACCAGATTCACATTGTACACCAGATATTGTTG